AGATGTGCTGCTGTCTGTTGTCATTATATTGCAAGAGTTCTGTTGTCATTGTTGTTGTTACATTGCAAGGGTTCCACATTGTTAGAGTTTGGTACCTCCTTGGTGTTTCTCACAGGCAGCTCCTCTAAGCACTGACTCCTCCTTCTCCTCACAGCAACCAACCAACCCACTCTTTTATAGCACTCTTATTATTGGCTACAGCTGTGGCCTGTTAAAGTCAGGCCTGCTCCTAATCTTTACTAATTAACCCAGCTGCAACTCTTTAGGGGTTAAGATTACTTTCTATACTACCTTTATTTACTTATATTCTATCCCCCTACAGCCATCAAGGGGAATCACATAATGAGTTCTGACATCTTTACTCACCCACCACCACTGAAACAGTCATCTCTCTACTTACCTTTCTAAATTCTCATCTTCTCTGCCAGGAATTCTTGCTCTGCTTTCTCTTATCATTCTCTCTGTAGAACTTCTATTTAAATACAAAAGTGCAGCTACTTACTGAAACATCAGTTTTAGTGAATTCACTGCAAACTGTGGGAAAAAATGCCTCTGACTTCAAATCTTGTTATGTGGTTAGAACAGTTCCCATCACTTCCAGTGATTTTCCTTTGGACTGAAGGAAATACAGGAAACTTTCTACTTTCATGAGCTCTCTCAGCACAGAAATCTCTGAGCTACTAGAGCTTAACAGATGTGGCTGGAATAGAGTGATCAGCATTTTGTTCCACAAATTACATTTTCCTATTCTGCAGAGCTCACTTCAAAGGCCAGCTGCTATAAGCCACTGATTTAATTACAGAGGATGCATATGGAAGTAATCTGAAAGGGATAAATAGCTTTCTTTATTATCATATATTCATAATGAGCTTTCTGCATGCTGAAATAATACTTGCAGGATGGATAGTGTAAGACTTGCTTGCAAAATCCTTCAAATTAGGAAAAATATCATTAAGCGTGGATGTTATAAGCAAATTCCAACATGTGAAGCTATTTAATGCCTAAGACCCTCATGAAGGAGCAGCTGTTAGACATCATTCATAGAAAAAGAGACCAAAGTTTGAGAATTTTTGGCTTTCCAAAACAAAAAAAGATATCTAGGAAATTACAAGTATTTTACCTAAATTGTCAGTCAGTGGAATAAGTATGATATATATATACTTTTATATATCTATAGGTAATATAATATATGCTGATCAATATAAAATAAGCCATTCACAGAAGTAGAGTGTTTCATTATGGAATGCATAGTAAGATTACATAGCTTTTGAAACAAAATTTTAGTATTAAAGTTGTTATCTCATGGTATCCATACTGTTAGTCAAAGCCAGTCTTTAGATGCATTGTGCATTTTTGGGGGTATCTGAGGGAAGGTACCTGATATTAGAAAACCACAACTAGAACACTGTTTCCTTTGGAGCCCCCCAGTCCCCTTGGTAAATGAATTTGCAGTGTGCCTTGAAGTCCACTTTAAATAATCACCTTTTCGTGATATTGACATTATTGATTATCACTAGATGGTGCTCTTCACAATCCCCAAAATCATAGGTAAGTGAACATACAGACAGTTCTACCTTGGAGAAGTTTTCATTGAGAGGTTTAATGGTTTCTTACCAAAGCTGAAAGTATTGTTTGGCTCAGCTCCCCTCAGACCACATAGCAGAATTAATGCCCTCAGGAAAATTTGTATATAAACCAAGTCAAGAATCACAGAATATCAAATTAATCAAAATCATAACATCAAATTAGTAATTCCAAATCTTCTTTTCACTTCTACTTATAAGTCCCTAAACACAAATAAAATGTAATCCCCTAAAGGAGGGCTCCATAAATTTGTACTAAGGTTTGACTTGTGGTTTCATAACACTACAGTTAGGACAAATTTTGATCTTAGAAAAAACCTGACTAAAAATTATTTCAGTAGTATTGCAGAAGAGGGAAGCAGCTGTAATCCTTTAAAGAGAAAACAAAAGTGTTTCTGCATCTATTATGAACATAAACAGTAATATTATGAACATTAAATAGTAATATTACACACAACCATTGTGTGTACATGCAGCAAAATAACAATTAAAAAGAGTAGGAAAAATATTACCTCAAACCTCAGTTCCTTGGAGCCCAATATGACGACAGCCTGAGTAGACAGGGCTGGGAGCCCTGGAGGTGTAAGAACTCTCCCAGGTCTTGCATCCAATTTAAAACAAATTTTGAGCTATATTAAAATGGTGTTTTTAATAAATTCCTCATTATCCTTTCTCTGCCCTCACTTTTAGTCATGACTTCAGTCTGTAACACTAGCTCTTCATGTTACTAATTTGATTAGGAATGGACTAACATGAAGTACACCAAATCCAAGACTGCATCATTGGCCGGCCATGGTGTTGGAAATCGACCTGAGTTTTGCAGCTTAAGCCCGTTTTTACTCAAATAGTTTAAAATTAACAGATCAGGAGTACAAGTGTGATATAACTTGATATAACTAAATTTTTCATGGCTGAATCTTCCTTTCAAGGGCCCTGATGCAGCTCCTAAATATGCTACATTTTAAAGTCAGTTTCCACATCCCCAGGATAATGTTACCAAAACATTTCAGATTTCATGACACAATTGTGACTACAGAGGGGGTTTGACTTTAAAACCTCTTGTCATTCTGTTTCAGTTTTCTTCCTCTATATTTACAGGAACAGTGAGAAACAATCCAATGAATCTTAATGTAGTGAAAGACCCATGAATGCTTCTTTTTCTGCATTGGCAAGAAAAGTACAAAGGCTACAATAATTAAGCCTGAGGAGGCAGTTAGGCCTGTGGCCTGTCATTTTTTTAGAGTTACACTATGAACAAACAGAGCACTGAAATGCATGGCCTGAGAACAATAGTACCCAGCCCTGTACCAGCCTCCTGGGTCACTCACTGCTTGTTTGCTCCCAGGCCTGATTTGCATAAGAGGCCTGGAAAAGTTGCAGAGGCTGGGAATTAGCACAAATTGATATGGGGTGCTATTGACTCAGGCAAAAACTAAAGATGCACTGACCTGTTCAAATCAGACTCGCATTCGGGCCTCCGGATTCCTGCATCATCCAGTGCTGAAGAATTAAACCCTGGCATGGTTCAGCAGCTGCTGGGCCCTGGGATAAAAATAGACAGGCAGAAATGGGATCATTTTGGCATAATCAGCTGCAACTGCAGAGGGTGGGAAGGAACCCTTCCTCTTGTGAGAAATGCCTTCCTTTTGGCTGTTTGGGTGTTGCTGTAGGCAACGGCATGGCAATGGAGCTCACCTAAAATGAGAGCCAGACCAATCCTTTCCCCAAAACATTTTACTGACCCAAATACTTTTTTAAAGGTTGAAAAATACTTACTGTTCCGTGTTTGTGGGCAGGTGTGTTCCATCAGGAGCAAGGAATGTGATTTATTTCAAGGACTGGATCCGATGTGCCAGATGCAGAGCTGTAGGAGTTACCTATTGCCTCAGCCCCACACAGTGCCTCTCTTGTCTGATAAATCTAAAAAGCTTCTTCCAACAGCTGGCCATCAGATCATTATGACAAGAAAGGATATGTTATGAAATCCTCTCTGCTTCTAGAGGTCTGTGGTACTGCAGAAACCAGTGTCCACCCATAAGGATTCACATAACCTCCTGTTATACCGGCATGTCCCTTAAAGCAAAAATTGCACTTAAGCCCAAGTAAGTTTAGTTTCATTTAAAGGTTTTCATGAACTTCTGGATTTCTTCAGCTTTACATTTGCAAGATGCTCTCAGGCCAGAGATTTTCATGTGCTTGGGTTTCCTTTTGGCCATTTAACTTGGCTCACAGAGGCCTTTTGTACCTCTAGTTTCTCCATTATTTGAACACATTTCGTCCCACCCTAAAGCAGTATCTCAAATACAGATCCTGACACTACTGCACTTGGCTGGTTTTGACTAGTTTCTCCCATGCTAAAAGAATGCACAATCCTCTCCATCACAGCTACATTAAAATGCTTTTGCTGTGCTTTTTCAATTAATTGCATAAGTTAATAAGAAAAAGGTAAGTTTCAGGGCAAAATAATAGTGAGAAAAGGAAACTGGACACTGATTCTAACACTGAACTTAATTTATGGAGGTGCTGGCCCCTGACATATTTTTAAAGGCTACACAATCCTTAAAAAGTGTGCTTCCCAGAGAAACTTGAGGAGATACCAGCAGTTCATATAATAGGAGCTTTCTCTCAAAATTATATTAGTAAGAGGTGTCAGCAAAGTCTTCTGAGGCAATCTGACTCAGTTTATCACCTTTTAGATGAAAAAGAGCACTGTACATGTTCACATTCCTATTCAGTTGTTTAAAAGGTCACTCCTGATCTTCAGTCAGTTTTTAAATTACTCCTTACATCGCCAGCATGCTGAAAACTGTGGCTATAAGAGTTTCTTAAAAAGCTAACATCAGTGCCATATGATAAGGAGTTATACAACCTATCCATTTTCAATGTACATAGTAATTTGAATTGTTGGGAAGGAAACAAATACAAAATTACGGAACCAATTCACATATAAATGTCTTTCCAGTTAATACCTGTGCCTTCACGTTCCTCCTGGCATCTACTCCTTTTGTTTGGTGCTTGGCATTTGGGAAATTGCTGCAGATCAGGGCTGACTTAGACATTACCAGGGGCTTCCTTACACTCTTTGGAAAATTCACCCTAAGCTGTCATATTGCCAGGTGTTCCTTCAGACTGCCTTTTCTCCCAGAAATAAGCTCTGAAAGCAGCACAATGCATTTGAGAGGAGAAGGCAGTGATGTCCATCTCCTCTCCTGCTTTTGGATCCTGGTTTAAAGTCAGTGTGTGACCTTTGCTGGGAGTTGACACACTTTCCCCAGGGAAACATCACATGGCAGATTTTGGATTTGTAGCTGCCAGCCTTAATTTCAGAAGCATGTACAAAAAGTGCCTCTGAATTGGTACAAGATGCAGTTATTTGGTGATTTTTAGGCTGAAAACTGCATAGGAAAGCGAGTCATGAGGATGTGGCACTGTTTAGGATTTGAACACAGTAAGGTTACTTGGATATTCCACAACAATGCAGCCAAGTCAGATGCATCATTTAATAGTTGAAAAATATGTAGGAGATCTTGGAGCAAAGTTGGAGCAACAGTAGCCACACAAAATGAGAAGGGATGCTGCTATGCTGGAGTAATAGAGCTTGGGCTAGCTGGAATATTTCTGTGACCATGTTGGGGTGAAAGCTGACAGCAAGCAGGTTTTTTATGGCCACGTGCTAATCTTCTTGGGCAGGATAAGTTATTAACTTAAATCCTCAAAATAAGCAGCTCTTTCATGTGCACCTATATTTTCCAGATGTATGATACAGTCAAGATTATCCTGTGCATTTGCATGTGCTTGTTTCTTTTGTTGTTATTTTTAGAAAATTCTTTAAAATTATTATTATTCTAACATCTGAGTAAGATTTGAAAATATTTTTTATTTTAGTCTCATAGCATTTTCCTGTTATGTTTCTTAATCCTTATTTCTATTATTTTAAGTTTTGGAAGAGACCAGGATTTAATTTAATTAAGCAAGTAGGAGTTTTGTCCTAGTTTTCACTCATTTGAGAGATTCAGCAACATCAGTTTTATCTGTCACATTTAGCAGTGCGGTTTTATAAAAATGACATCCATGCTAAAAATTAAAAGCTGGATATAAACATAAATAAGAGCACTTCAAATGGGGGTGTTTTTCAAGGCCCTTCCTCCTTGACAGAAGCAGTGGTGCACAAAGCCAACACTGTGTGTTCAGCACGAGGCCATTCCCTGCTGAGCCCATCCCTCAGCGATCCTGACAAGAAATGTGCACCTGCAGCTTCTGACCCTCTGCGGGAATCTGACTTCTAAAAAATATTTTCAACTAAACTTCCAACTCATGCCTATGATCTAATGGCATCAGTTGGCCTGCATCCCTTTGCTCTGTGAAAGGTTTGTTAGGAAAACATGACTTGAGCTCCAGAAGGAGCACATCTGGCAGGGCTTGATGTAGCATCGATGCATTTCATCTTCTGTCTGTGCAACTGCAGCCTTGCCTTAGCAAATGTCCTAAAGCTGGCACAGATCTTAGACAAAGACCAGGAAAGTATTTCAGGATCTATCTGGGATGAGAGATGCCATATTATGTTTGGGTTAATATATAAAAATAATAATTCAGAGGAAGAAAATGAAATAAAATCATAAAAATGTATGCCAAGAGTCTGCTTGAAACAATACTCCAGCTTCTTATATTAAGAATTGTCAAAAATGGCAGCATTAAAAACAACTCCAACTGGCTCCTTCCCAAGCTCCATGCCTTTTGGATTTCCTTAAAAATTTCAATCTACAGTTTCTGAATAATACAACCATTGTAATTCAAGGACGCTCCCCTGCTGGTTTTGATTAATTTATTTAAACAACACAGAAAAATTCTGCTGTAACTCCTCTGGTAACATAAATCCCTTTTACAAAGGATTCTGTTGTCTCCACCTCTCTAATAAACTACAGTGTCAGGGGTTCAGAGCTAAATGGATGGCAATACAACTTTAAAAATTCATCTCTGCTTATGTGTCTGAATTAATATCTGGTTTTTGTCCCCTTCAACCTTTGACTAATTTATAACTCTATTCTTACCTTCCTACAGAAGTAACAGATCCATTGAAATAGTTTAATTTGCATGCAATCACACATTTTATACTTTAAAAATTAATATCTTGAAAAGAATGTCAGATATCTTAAAAAAAAATCCCAGTAGCCCAGCTTTTTAAAACTTACAGTGTTCTCCTGACATATGCCACTTTCCTTAGAGTACCAGCTACTGGAATCTGGTTCTTACCCGAGATCCAGCTTCCATTAAAATTAGAATAAATTTCTGAATGCCCTGGATTGCAAAGTAATCCCACCCTCAAGGGAGAAAAAACCCAAGTAATAAGTAATCCCAAGTTTTTAAATGTTTTATTCTTTTTTCATGTGGTACGAGAGAAACTGGCATTTGCTGGTTGCAGAGCTAATGGAATAAACCCGGCAACACCACGGTCTGAGAACAAAATGCCCAGTGAGGACACTTAAATACCTGTTACAGTTTCTAGGGACAGAAATGGAGGAGCACAACAAAGCTGCTATTAAAATTACAGTGGCTTTCTGAGGTTCATAGATTGTCACAGCAAATTATGGCATGCAGGTATTTTCCCAAATCCTAAGATTGTATTTTCCAATACAATCCTGTATTGTCTAGCATTCAAGCAGCATGATTCCTTTTGGGAACCACACAGCACTTGAAAAGAAATTGCTGTTAGCTTACTTATACAATTAGATACTCTTGAACTGTTTCCATTTCACATAAATATTAAATACTCCTTTGTTTAAACTAATCGATTTAAAAATAGTCTATGAAAGGAAATCCAACAAATGTCAAGCTGTTTCTTACAGATTTCTGGTAAGCTTGCTGCTCATTTGACATGTTGCATGTGTCGTTTCAACAATGCCCTCATGTGTGAGTGAATATACAGATGCTTTAGGCTAACATTAAACAATGTTCTATAGCTAGCACTGTTTTTGTAGTCCAAATAAAGTAGGTAGTGTTTTTATAACTATCAATTCTTGGGTTATGGAGAATGTCTTCAAATAGAAACAGAAAGAGGTTTATCTTTACAAACAGGTCTCATTCCCTTAAAAGGAAGTTGTTCTTTTTTTCTGCTGCTTCTTTGGAGAACTGACTACAAACTGGGAATGGTTATTGTATGAGTCATTTGGGAAGAATAGCTACAGTGTAAAAAGTTCAGAAAGGATTTTTAATAAAACCAAACCAAATTATCTTCTCTTTTGGGCATGATAAGGATAGTTTGAGAGAGCAAAATATGAAGTTTTTCAGAATGCTGTAACTCAACCTAATACTGTAGTGTTTTGAAGAGAAGGGGGAAAAGGTCAGCAAAGACTAAAACATTCTGCCCCAGTTTCAGTTCTATAGATAAGACAGAAATCCCTTTTCTTAAGAAAATTTTAATTTACTTTATTCTGGTCTGGTCTAGTCTGGCAGTGAGCTCCTGCATGCACCCAAAAATCACTGGCTGCCAAAACCAGACATGGAGCTGGGGAACGATCTCCTACTCAGCTGTGGGGCCAGTGGGACTTTGCTGCTGCAGCCCATGCACTCAGGCACTTGGGAATCCCCCCAAACACCAACACTAGCAGCTAAACTGTTAACAATTATAACGTTATTCCAATAAAACACCACTGGTGCTGTGCACGGTAGAGACTGCAAATAACACAAGGAAATACTATTGCATTATTCCCTGCAATGCCACAAAGGATACAATAGTAAAGCTAGGACAAAAAAACTGCTGTTAATGTTTATGATTCTACATCCTTTCCTTACAGCCCTCATCTTAGTTTTTCCCAGTTTTAGAAATGAAATCATGTCTTCAGCATGCCACTTTACTGCTCTACTTCTCTCAGTGCTGCAGCATTTGAGTATCCTGCCTTTCAGGGGTAGAAACTGGGGTTATGTCTCATAAAGCAAAGTTTTAACAGCGTTTTTTAACTCTGTTATCATCTTAGGAACATGCACTGAAAAGTGCAGGCTTGCTCATGCAATAGCTGGGTCAGAGATGCTGGCTGTTTTACAGGTGCTCCATGCAAAACATGGAAAAATGCTATTTTCTTTCCAAGTTCAGCACTAGTTTTTTGCATATTGCTAATCTAGCAAGAGAATTTTATAAAATTTTTATTTTCCTTCTCCTTAGTGTATATACAATATAAAGGAATTTTTCCCTTGTAGTCAAGTGACATTCCCTTAAATTTCAGACTATTAGGTGGGTTTTGTCTCCAAGTTCATTTCCTATGTTGTCCATTTATATAAAGTTTCCCAAAATGCTAGTAGAAATTTTTTTATCATTCTCTCATGCTTGAGGCACTATGAAACTTTTCCCTGAGTGTTTCTCCTAAGATTAGTTCAACTGAGGCTGAAGTTTTTAGAAAGTGACCAAGTGATTTCAATGGGAGTTTCACCTTTGGAAAGCAAAATCACAACTGTAATTTGGCAAGGCTATTGAGGTATCTGGACTCCCATTCCTAGGAATTTTACAGGAGAATGCTGAATATTTCAAACTGCCATGAGGCTAACAGCATTTGAATCTTCTGAACATAGCTAGAATGTCCTGCACTCTTCAAGACAAATTTAAAAAAAAAAAAAAGCTTCAAAACCCTCTTCACCCCACTTCCAGCTTGCTCATGTTGGACCATTTGGGAATGCCCTGGGGCAAACAAAGCTCACAGATGTGTCACAAGCACTCAGTTCTTTCTGCAAACCCAGAAATAATGACTCTGTGCTTTCCAGTCTAGCCCAGGTTTTACAGTGGAGCTTAGACACGCACTGCTGATGCTTTATGAGGTACCTTTGATGGTGGGAGATCTCCAGGCAAAGTCAAAATTTACCACTGCAGTAGATTGTGGATAGACAAATGATAGAATTTGGCTATTTTAATAGATTTAAAATATATATATACATATTTTACAAATCTCACATTTTAAAAACACGTGGGTGAAGCTGTTGTTGCTGCTGCTGCTGTCCCAAAGTGCTGTTCATTGTGGGGACCTCAGGGGTTGCTATTTGGGAAGGGTCCTGCTGCTGGGAATGGGAGGCCAGCTGGGACAGGAGGCTCATTCTTGACAATAGTCTGGAGAGTGTTCTGCCTGATAATGAGGGGAGTGATATTTCAACAGGCTGCAGAAGAGAGCCTGCAATGCCTCTTTTAAAGGCCTGCCCTGGACCTGGTTGCCAGGGAGCTGCAGGAGGGCGAAGGCTGGCAGCAGAGAGGGAAATAATTCAGCTGAATTCAATTAGAGTGCATCAGTAGAACAAAGTGAACTATTAAAATAAACAGTTTCCCTAAATCAGAAAGGGTTATGACCACAGAAATTGGAGCCTTTACAGATTTCTTTACACCATATTGAGCTATTCATGCTTTCTGACATGAGCCACTGCATTGCACATGTGCTGAGGAGGGGGCTGTGTTTAGGCTGGCACACGTGGCAGGGACCCACCTTGGCCATCTTTGAGAATCACAGATACAGCAAGGCACTGCTTTGCCCTCAGAGACTGAGGAGCTGCTGCCTTGGTTTGTGATCAAAGGGAAGCAGCAGGAGCAGCAGCAGAGAACAGGACTGAGAGCAAACCCTTCCTTCCCCCTTCTGCTGAACACCTGCAGAGAGGGCAAGGGTTCCTCTGGTGGAATGGCTCCAGATTTTCCAAATATCCTGATCAAACCTGACCAGGATATAACCCTAATGGAGTAGAAACAACCCAACACTTTGCTAATGCCTTCGGATATCCTGGATCCATTTTCCTCTAAGTGCTACCTAATTGATTTAATGAGAGCAATTTTCTTGATTTAAAAGGAAGCATCCTGAGTATTTCCTGGACTGTAGATTTGTTTGGCATTGGTATAGGTATTCACCAGCCAGCAAACACCTAGTATTTCTTTCTAACAGCCACTGCACTTCATACTAAAGGCAGAGATTTAGGAAGAAACTGGGTGTGAGAAAGTGCTGCTTGCACTGAGACAAGTGGGCTCTTTCAGCAATTCAGGAGTGCATTTCCCTGCTGCTGAGACTTCCCTGATGGCAGCTTTTGCAGATGCTCATGTCTATGTGAAAAATCAAAGTGAAAAAACACAGTAATGCACAGCAATAGCTATGAGAAGAGCACCTACTGCAAGAGATTGCTAGCTCATATATTCAGGGCAATAATACAATGTTCAGCAAAAACAACAGAAATACTTACACGTGGAATAAAGAAGTACTTTGGCTTTTATGTGGTATTCTCAAATTATGATTTCCTGCCTAAAAGAAAAAAGGATAATGAAGATAAACACAAGGCAATGACAAGAAATAAAGGAAACAATCCTATCAAAAATGACAGGGCAGGAAGCATCATACATTTTGTATATGAAAAAAGACTCCAAAGGAAGTGCAGTGATAGTCCATAAAAATGTTACCTCAAACTGCTGTGGAATTTGCAGTTGAGCTCCCATTTCCTTCAAAGCTTGAAAATGACAAGTTCCTGTAAAGCAGCCTCCTCAAAGTTGCAAAGGCCAATGGTTTAGTTTATATTTTTCCTACTGCAGAGCAAATGACTGACAGAGGTCAAGCACACAACTTGAAAGTAAAGTCCTTTCCCCAAGTCCCTTTCCTGTTGTTGCCTCCACTTAGTGTTCCACTCTCTTGGTTTCTGAGTTCTCCTATGCATTAGTTGGCAGCCTCAGCTCATAGCAACACAAATTTACACACAGCACCATCAGAATTCCAACTTGGTGTATTTTGAAAGCCTAAATTTAAACCAACCCTTATGGAAGAAAACTTATCAGATACTTTTGCTGGAGGAAAATCTCCATATTCATAATATTTTATATCTTTTGCCTGCCTCTTTTGCACTCAGGAGCAGAAACCTAAATTGTTTGAAATGCTTTTTTCTTCAACTAATACCTTTTTTGGTTATGGACCAGTGGTGCTGACAAATATCCAGCTCTTGCCAGGAGCTAAACTACTAAATGTCAATCTAGTCCATTTTTGACAGTACACATGCAAGATACGGCCACAGCTGTAAAACAACATTTTTAGCATGCTCCTTAGAATAGCTAAAATCAAAACTGCAAGAGAAAGCACAGCCAGTTTCAAACCTCGGTGTATAACAGCAATAATTATTTCTGAAAAAAAAAATAGCCTGGTGCACAGAACAAGGGTAACAACAAGTTCTATTAATCAAAGTGTACTCTAGTGGAGTTAAAGATGGAGTACAAAACACAAAATCAGAAATATTACTCAAATTTCCTAGTTTGACCCATTTTAAACTCCTGCAATGTGGGTGAGAAGTCTGTAATATTTTGTGCTTATACATTTTGAGGCATTTGGATGCCAGGACCTAATTCTTAGCTTGGGCCCAGGATTGCTCCAGCAAACTCATTTCAGCAACACCAAGTGTAGTTTTCATAGTGATGTGGTCAGCAGAACTGATTAATGGCAATGCAACGTGCTGAAGGGCTCCATTGGAAGAGCTGGTTCCAGTAATTATTGCAGCAGCTACAAAGAGCTGATGAGGGGCAGGGATGAGTTATGAATCCACACAGAACAGTCCCAGATTACAGCCCAGGGCCTAAACTTATGAGTCAGATACAGCTTTTTCTGGAAATAGCTAGGATTTGGGTTTCCAACTCTTGCTCTTACCTGCAAATCTGCCTTTATCACAGCTGAGTTGTTAAGTGGATCAGTTCTGAACACATTTTGCAGTCAGAACCTCATCTAATGTCTCCCTGTCTCTCATCCCTCTGTGGGCTCTGGCACCCACAGTGTGCTCCTCTGATGTCCTTTTGCACAGACACATAAGCACACAGCTTCCACCCCTGAATTCTACAACGGTAACTGGATAATTATCCAATTAATTGGATAATTCCCTTGGTCTAGGAAGCTGTCTTCAAACACCTCATATTGCTTGGTCTACCCTAACTCCTAACCTGGGCCCTATTTTCTTCTGCTCTCTCCTTTGTTTTCTGCTTCTTTTCTTCTAAATCCTTCTACATACACCAGCTAGATCAATTCTGACATCATCTGGGCTGTTAGGGTTGTCTTTTTGGTCATTTCTACCAGGGGATACAGCTCCACTGTGCTTCCCCCTGTTTAACGGCATAGACACATCTTTCCTGGCACTTCCATTCCTTCATCTGTCAGGTGTTTTAAGGAAGGGAACTCAATAGGCAGGTTTGAAAGAAACCATTCCAGGTACTGGGAAGCCCTGATGCATGATGAATACAAAAGTTCAGTCTGGGATTGTGAGGGTTATCAAACAGGGAAGAACAGTAACTGAAATGTATTAACTGCTTCACTACAAACACTGTGTGCACAAGAAGATGTAAATGATGATAACAGTAGATTACACTTGGTTCACAAGCCTTCAAACATACTCAGTATGAAATTCTCTCATTTATGCAGCTGAGCAAATTTACTTCAGCCAGCAGGTGGGGGGGTCTAAGAAAACTGTTTGGACTATAGAACAAGGAGGCATCTGCACAGCTGAAAGAGCTTTGAAGACATGCCAAATTTATTTGGGGGTTTTTGTCTCTCAATAAGGTTAAAGGTTTTCTAGAAAAATCCTAGTATTACTTCTACTCCTTACACCAAATAAACCCCAAATGAAAACAGCATCAGGGACAGCCATAAAAGAACTTTTATGGCCCTACAGACAAGGTGCCCCAAAACAGAAGAGTATACAAATGAAACATTGAATAATTTACATGTTATCTATTCAAACAACCATCAGCCAAACACGTCTTTGAAAGTGTTGATATGAAATACAGAAGTTGCCTGTTCCCAGCAAAAATCACCTATAGATGCTTGCAAAGAGCAACATCCTGTTACAGGATGCTATTACTATTATGCTTCAGTACTTAACTAGCCTTGGCAGGCAGAAGGAAAAACAAAAATATACTCACGTTCTGGCAATCTATTGCATGCTGCATTTTAGAGCATTGCCATGCAACCATCTTGTCCTATTTAGGAAATTTTTCTGTCTAGATTTCTTTGTCTGGATTCAATAACGTAACTGCAAGCTGATCCAAAATGACAATGAGCTTCATTCCAAGGGCAGTAGGAGAACACAGGCACAAATGCTGCTCCACTGCTTGTCCATAAGGAGGATGCAAAGGATCTGTTAGGCTCCTAAAGGAAGAAGCCTCTTGCTGGCACCTTTCAGGCAGAATTTGTTAGTATTGCTGATTTGCTACATTTGTACACAACATAGTAAAGTACATAAATCTCAAGATCAAATTCTCACACAACATAAATGTTCTAAGCATGAAGCTTGGAACGACTGGATTGTATTCAAAGCTTGGGTGAAAAAAGATAGCAATTCCTCTTGTGCAGCTAAATTTGGAAAACAAGTGATCCCAAGTGTGCTCTGCAGTGGTTTGTGGGCTTCTTTAAGAACATCATGCTACTCAGTGCAAGTCAGGCCCCAATATCCCATTCCTCAACAGTGGGCATTGGGGCTCCCGTGCTTAATAAGTGGAAATACTGGAAAGGTGTTTGGTATTTTCCTTCTGTTTTCTCTGTCCCCCACATTACATAAATCCAAATTTTCAATTTAAGATCACTAGAGATTCAAATTCAAATAACCTTAAATGTGCAACTACCTTTTGGCCCTATCTAGACAATTTCTTGGCCTCCTCCTTTTATGATAGTCCTTCATCATTAAATCTTTTGTGTCAAGAGAGGTAACTGGAAATTCCAGGCTTTCAGTTCTCTGTTCAAACTTGATTTTAAATCTCTGTAGGATGCAAGGGGCAAAGCACATTGGAATTTCTTTATGAATCCCAACTGGAAGCTGTGCTGTTAGATCTCCTGTGGGGGAGATGGCTCCAGTGCCCACAGAGACATCCAACAATCCCCTTGCTAAGAAACTGGACAAGTAACCATTGGTGCAGGATCACACAGAGTGCTGTCATATGTTACTGCACTCTTATCTTGGAGCTTTTTCTCCTCGGATGAGTTCATTTTTTAATCCTAACATGAATTTGACACGATTTTTGGCCAAACAACAAGGCTAGTTCTGTGCCAGAAAAGCCCAGGATAAATGTGTCAGAACCTATTTTCATCTGCTTAGTTAAGTCTTACAGAACAGCATTGAAGCCCTTCTCCCCATCCAGAGCTGTGCCTACCTTGAATGCTTTGTTTATTTGTACTCAGGATAGCTAGGCAACAAGGGAACAAGTGCCCGTGACCTGGTAAAACTGCATTGTATTAAGCTGTGTCCAACTCTATTTTAATGTCAAGAGATTAAACCAAATGCAAAACCTAGACCAAAACCATGGAGCTGTAGGTTTCTAATGTTATCTTTATCTCTTTTTTTTTTTAAATGATGCTGGGTGGCAGCAGTATCACTGACAGAAACAACTGTAGCTTTAACTTCTGATCCAAATCCTGCACACTGAACTCACATTTGCTTTTTTGCAATCAGCTGAAGACGCAGTTGTGATGAATCTTTATCTCCTCCCTATCAGAGTGCAGAGAAAGCATCACCTCTGAGACCCCCAAAATGAGCTCTTGCCAGAGGAAGTGTGTGGTACCTGAGGAGCTGTGGGTCTGCAAAGGGTCTGGCATATGTGAAGTCTGTCAGGCTGAGTGTGAGGGAGGTTTGTTGTCACAGAGAAATGCCTTTGCTGGGGTCGAGCCATTTGTCAGTGAGGGGAGACTCAGACACTCAATATGAGTGATAAGCAAGCTCTGTTTATTGAAGAGAGCATCAGACACTTATACAGCGAGTAATAAGCTTATGAATATTCTGTAAGCTAAGCAGTCTATTAGTTAAACTATACTATCAACTCTTCTTCATTCTTTAGGAGTTACATCTCTCTTTTCTCATGTCTCTTTCACTGTTTGTTATCTTACTACAGCTAAGCTCAAAGACACTGTTATCTGTGCAAGTGCAAGACTTAGAATTAGCCATAGTTTTGTACTTTTCTATTTTCTAGCAACTGAATTTCCAACAGTTTGTCTGTCCCTGTATCCCAGGCTGGGATCTGGGAGCACGGTGGAGGGTGCAGGAGCTGCTTGCACACGTTCATTCAGGTGGGAGCAGATTGATGAGCCCAAGCTCAGGGCTGTGCTGCAGCCAGCAGAGGCAAGGAGGATGCTGCAGCCAGCTGTGGGAGCAGGGTGCAGGGGATATAACAGAGAACAAATCCAGCCAAGTTTTTCAAGTGTGGTTTGGCCTCAGAACTGCTCGGAATCATTACTGTGCAATATGTGCCTGAACAAGTTAAATTTTTCGTTTTCTTGGACAATGAAACAATATTCCTTCTCTTCTGTACTATAAATTACTGCAAAATACAAATTGAGATATCCTGTTGATGTGTGGGTTTTCTTTCTGGTTTTGTTTGGTTTGGTTGTTATGCCTGGTTTCTAACAAAGCATAACTTTCAGTGCACATTCATGTCAGCAATGGCCTTATTTGAAACAGCAGTTCTTCTCAAGGTGCCTCGCAGGGTGGTGACCCTTAATTCCAGGCAGCCCAGCTTAGATTAAAACCACATGAAACAAGTTCATCTTTGTAACCCTGCACTAGTGGATTTTCTGCTTTCCTCAAACACACAAAGAGCCTGCATTAAGACTACCCTAACTCATCTTTATGTTGGTCACATTTTCTTAAAATTGTCTGTCTCTCACAGTTTGAGCTCTAAACCATTATTACAATCACAAGCATTCCTCTTGAATGAGGACCAGAGTAATTTTCATTTTAAATCCAACAACAAAACCATCTTTTCCTATAAGACAAGATTTCCTATTCTCTCCTCCTACAGAAGTCAGCTGCCTATCATCTTCCCTAGGGTTATAAGGAGATGAAAGCATGTACTGCAAGTCAGTGGCTATGCCTGCCCCTCCCAAAAGCAGCTGGCTAGAGTGGAGAGGAGAAGGAAAAGAAAGGAACATGGAATGCAAGAACAAAACCACAAAGCTCTTTGGGGAATTGAAAATTTTAAAAAAGGGTAAAAAAAGGAGGAAACACACAACTGCCACCACCAGTAACTGCAAGATCCTTAAAGAGGAGCTGTGAGGAACCACTGTGGTTTCATTTTAAGACAAGATCAACAAATATGATACAAGACTTTTCAACACAAGCCAAACCACGGCCACATTCTCGTTATCACAGTGACACAGGGCACCCTAATCCAACAAAGACCACCCTTTCTGAATTCTCTTTCCCTCTGAGCAATCAATACCTTCAGTACTGCTGTTTTCTTTTTGTTTAGAGGTCAAAAAATCTTGTTGGTTAGGTCTTTCTCTCTCAGGCTTTCACAGAGGGTTTATGACAAGTTGGTATGATCTTTCATGATCACAAGTTCTGTGATTCCCATCTGAATCCCCACATCCTTTTCTTTCCTTCTAAAGCAGCTGCTCTGATCATACAGGCCTTGTATCAATTCAAGTTTTTAACACTGTACTGGAGATGCCCCAATCCCATCAGACACTTGTGGAAACGGATTAGTAATAACAGCTTTACTGCTACTATCCACATATAGATCTTTTTATCCATCTTTCCTCTTCCTGGGGAAAAAAAGGTCCCACCTAGCACTTATAGAGATAAATGAATGAAGCATTTCTAAAGTGTCAGCCAATCCCCAACTCCATCATAAATGTTCAACACGTTCAAGAGGAACCCAGAGTGAGTACAAAAGACATGAAATACTGTGTGAGTGCACCTCTAATATAATAGTATTTAATTTCTAAAATCTAGTTGTTGTTTCTGGCTTCTGGCCAGTAAACTAATGCTGATTGTTTTTTTTTTTCTTTGAGAGCACCATACAGCGTTATGTGCTTTTGTGACTTTCACAGTGCATCCATTGCAATAAGGAGCCATTTCTAAACCAGTGTAGACTAATTACAGCACCTGGAACAAAATCTTGTGTTCTGAATATATTAAGCACAGCCACAGAAATTGTCTTGAGCACTTGCTCTGAAAAGTTGTAAAACTTCTCCTTAAATAAGGAAATACAGGCAGAAGACTTCATTGATAAAACATCAAAAAAGAAGCTTTCTGATTTACCTTCTGTCCATATGTGTGTTGATGTTTTCTCAAACTTGTGAAGTACTAATTATCTCCAAGGCTAAAAGCAAATTCCTCATATAATAAATCCTAATCATAAAGCAGCCACAACAGTCACAATACTTTGAGAAAAATCAGTTGATCCTCCAATAATTTAAATTCTGGCTGCAAAAATACTTCTGTTCATTGAGTAATGAGACAGGAACCCTTTATGAGCCCCTGAAAGTAATTCAGCCTTACTAATTTTCCATCAGAGCTTGTAATCTTGCCTAAACATTAAATTCCAGATAAAAAAAAAATAAAAAGAACCTTAAAACCAGAAAAGTAATTGAATACTGTTTTTTAAATTGTGGTTTCACTTTCTGTAGGAAGCAAATGTTCCTGTGGGGATCACCTGAAGGAATGCCAAATATCCATAACAGACTTCAGCACTGCATTTCATAGAGTAGTGCAAACCTTTTCACAAATAAGCAAGCTTGAAGGAGCTTAGTTCAGTTTTAAATCAGCATAAAATTGCTTTGTTGTTTCTTCAGTTCTCATGTGGAACTAAGTGAAACAGAGCAATTTCAACAGAATTCAGCAAGGAGATTTGTATTAGTTCATTTTAATTCAATTATCAAGCATATAAACTCTTTATATGGACAGACCCAGAGAAAGCAAAATTTAAGTTTTCACAGCCATGCTTGTGGTCTTGAAATGTGAAACTATAAAAACCACATACTTCAGAGTTTATAATTAAATGAAGGAAAAGTGTCACCTCCACCTCCCGCTTTTGAACATCTGTAAAAAATAAAGCTAATTTACTACAATATTTTATTTATTCAACATTAGGGTCAGTTATGCTTGTAGAAGAAGCATCTTTGCACAAGCTATATATAGAGCAATTATAAAATACACAGACAACAATATTTGTGCTTAGAATCTGGAACTACAAATAAGCAACCAACAAAACATGGAGCATTATGCCGTGATAATGTAACGAGG